ATGAGGAAGAGTTTGTATCCGAGCTGCAGTCAATCAACTACACTGCGTCATCATCCGGGGCGCATCGCACGTCGAAGGCCCCACGTCTTCCTGAATCCACTGCTCCACGTGAACACAGGAGCTTTCTGCTTGGATTCAACATTCAACGCTTCAAACTTGCGATACCATTGAACAACAATGAGAAGATTGCCTCTGCGAGACTAGCCCTGCGCGTGACAGAACTGCACCTTCTTGGGCGACGGCGGTTCGACAACTCCTGGTCACCAGTGAAGAATATTGTCGAGTTGAAGACTCATTTCATAGGTGTACTATGGGATAATAGCGCATTGTTGAGCACTCATCATTCTAAGATTACACTTGCACTTCAGCGACCATCACTGAATAGTGATGCGCACTTTGGAGCGGTACATGTGGTGATGGTGGCAGGAACTTGGAGGGTATGCCCAAGGAAGGACGTGATCATGGCCATTCTAGGAGCGAAGAATAGAAGAGTCTACCGGAACAGAGCTGCCAACCTCCGAGATCGCATCTCCGCCTTAGCCAGCACGCCACGAGAAAGCAGTGTTGACAGTGGCTTCAGTTCGACCGGCACAGAAAATGAGTCAGGACTGCTTTTCGAAAGTCTTAGACTGACAATTCTCCGTACCAGCGGTTTCATTGAAGGGCTAGAAACGGATGACCTGCCCTTCGAAATGTCCAAAGACGATCAGCCCGGAAGTGCGCAGTATCCCCGTGACGCTACTACTTCGAAGTTAAGTGTCCCAGCATTTAGCATTGCAATGATCAGAGAGGAGTCTCACGACTTTGATGTCGTTGACATCGATTTTTCTGGAAGAAAAGGTGAGTTCCCACAGGGTTGCTTGCAGAAGGTTTCCAATCTGTTTTCAGAACTGTTTGGTGCCGTCGCACTAGACCAACAGATGTATCAGACAGCCGCGACCCAAGTTCAACACTCGCGGGAGATGTCCCGTGATGTGTCTGTGCTGATTCGTTTTGGAAAGTCGCTTTATCGAGCGCAGGAGGAGGCCAATACTGGGGTCGAGTCAAAATTTTGTTTCTTCGCTGGCATATCGTCAACCATTCTCGTATCACTTTCTGCGAAACAAATTTTTGGTGACGAAGACGGTCACACTACAGTCATGTCTGGTATTTCCCCAAAGCTTGCGCTAGAAGTTTCCCCTTTGATCGAAGGAGCTCAGGTACAAAGGGTACGGTTTGTTGATGTGAGATTTCTGCACGGCATTAATCCACTGCACCCACCCCATACTATGCTACACGTCGGGAAGGTTACAGCGCTGCTAGATACAAAGACCTTGCTCCTAGCTCAGGGGCGAGTAAGATCTAGAAAGCGTTTGAGACATTTCCCTACGCTCGAAACCAATTCGGAGCCGTCGTCATTAATCGGAGAGAGAAAAGTAGCAACTGTGCTGGGTCAACCTCGAAGACGCGCAGATCCAAGCAAACCCTGCAGCGAAACTGGCGAGGAATCAACCCAGCAAGAGCCCGACATTCGCCTGCAAGTTAAACTGCCTACCAAAAGCGAATCGCCCACCAACCAAGTCGATCTATTCGCGGAAAGGCTTCACTTCGGTATAGATCGGAGTCGACGCAATCGTAACGTGGAAAGTTTACCGGTGAACATAAATGTGGCCCTGCATGAGGTCAACATAAGGGGACAATGGGATATATTAAGCTGCCGAATTCGTCTCCGTGAAAACCTGTTCAGTTGCGGCACTTCTGGTTTAGCTCCAAGGTCTGGTGGATCAATAGAAATCACGAACATCATGAACCGCCTCCAATTCGAGAGTATGCAGTACGGCAACTACACCATGAAACTCGCAGTCGATGCGCTGGCTGCAATAGGCTCCTTTCCAAGAAGTGAAATTCTTGTTGAAAGCACTGATGTAAGCACTGAGATATCCCATACCATGATCAAAGCCATTATGCGACTCTCTGGTCAAATGAAGAAGCTGAGAAGTGAAGTAAGCCTGGTGACAGAGAGGGAACAATCAAAAGACACCAACAAAAACCAAGCGTCTAAAATATACTCTTACGACAGGCCTTCGATGGACTCCATGCCATCGAATGATGTCCAGAAGAGAGGTGCAAAAAATGAGGCGCCTGAGCAGCCATTCCTTCCCGCCATCACTCCATCTGACAACCAGCACCGACCTGCTAACCTGGAACTATTGCGAGTAATTTCAGAAAGGACAAAAGTGATGGTTAAAGGTGACTTGTTGCGAGCAACATTGCGTGGATATCAGTTTGAAGAGACGCAGCACAGTGCTTTGTTTGAGCTCGAGAGGTATGATCTCAGCTATGAGCGGGACTTCAATTCGACATCGGAGCCTTTTCATTTGAAGCTTCTCGGCATTGACTTTTCCAACCTGACCCTTGCCTACAATGATGATGTCCGAGGCATACACAGCGACCTATTCAAAATCCCAGCGCCAAGGCTAAGAATGAAGGTTGTCGATTCGAACGCGAGATTGATAGTAGAGCTGACGGGAGAACTTGAACTCAGGCTTGGTCACGGATTTTATTACTGGCAGGATTTCAAAGAGTTGTCAGATTTGACTGTGCATGGTATCCGGCCAACTCCTGAAGCTGAAGTGGGTGCATCTTCATCCGAGGGCCAACCGGAGCTGTGGAACGGTAAAATTCCCCATGTCTCCGTGAAATTGAACCCCAGAATAGATGTGATCGGGGATTTAACGAATGACATGCTACCATTCATGGAACGTCGTCGTATAGGGATTGAGATGATACCCAAACACATGTTCCACTATATAATTGTACCGATAGACCGGCTGTCTGACACGCTATCCAGGACTCTGCTCAAGTAACTACGACAGTTAGAGCCCGTCTCCCTCGTCCCCATTTTTAGGCAGCTTAGATTAGAGAAGAGCAGGAGAAACCCTCCTCCAAACTAACGTTATTTATTTCAATAGCTTGCATGAAATCGCACTAACCTCAACCTCATTCACCATTTTTTATTATACTCGCGTCCGCGAAACATTTGAGCTACGCCCTGAGAAACGGTAGGACTGCAGAAGTGTATCGAGCAATAAGCCGTGGACTGGCAATCTGCCTCTCTCACAGCAAGCAAATTTCGGGTACTAGAAAACGCACTCTTTACTCCACTGCGTACAATTGTGCAATGCACACGAGCTCCAGAGCGAGTTCTCACAGCACAATTCCCAACACCCAAAACCAGTCTATCTCCATCCCCCGCCCCCGCCCCCGCCCCCTCTCCCCCGCCCATAACCGCCGCCCCCTCTTCCAAAGCCGCCGCCAAAACCGCCACCCCCTCTTCCCCCCCGCCCAAAACCTCCCCGTCCGAAACCTCCCCTTCCGCCGCCCCGGCCTCCCCTTCCACCTCTACCTCCTCGACCCCCCCTGCCGCCCCTCCCTCCCTTCTTCACGCCCCCCCTCTGGCTCGACGGTGTCGTGAACCTCTGCAACGGCATGAGTTTATCCGGCCCCATGAACACCTTATCCCCCGGCTTGAAGCTGGCCGGCACGACCCCTTCCACGGGCTTGACCGAGAAATACACCTCCGAAATTGGCCCCAGGACCTCCTCGACTTTCCCAATTTGCGTCTTGTTCTCCAGAAACACCGGCGCATTGAACTTGGGCACCTGCGCAGCCGCCGTCATCTTGTACACCATCTCGCCTTGACAGTCGTGCAGAAAGGCGCCGGATTCGATCACAGTGTCCGGAGGGCCCTCGTCGTAGCGACTGCCGTACCGACCGCCCCCTCCACCGCCGCGAAATCGGCCGTCGCCACGAGAGCCGCGGCTGCCGTATCCGCCTCGCCCGCCTCGCCCGCCGCGCCCGCCGCGCCCGCCACCGTACCCGCCGCCGCCGCCTCCGCCGTACCCGCCGCCGCCACCGTAGCCACCTCTTCCACCCCAGCTGCTCATGCTGGGCGTCTTTTGCTTCTGATCGAGCCGAGACTCGAATGTGCCGGTCCGGATAGGAACGGGACGATCAGGGGTTGGTTGGGCAATGCAGACGCGATGCAATGTCGTGGTGTTGCGACAACCGCCGTGGTAGAGGCACGCTGGTCGGGGTGGGATCAATTGGATCAATAGGCAACGAGCGTATGATACACAAGAGTTTCATTACAGCTATCTCTTGGGACATGTTTGATTACAGTGACACTTTGCTGTCGAAGATTGGAAAAATATTGCATTATTGCATAATTTATAGACAGTCGCGAAAACCGCAATCACGTCATAGATTATGTCTCAAGTTGTCAACAGCAGCCGATGCAAGTCGAACAATGGCAGGATGGGGGAGATTGTTTCCACATCATGCCCCTTTTCTTGTGCTCTAGTCCCTTTTCTCCCGCTTTTCTAGCCACTTGCACAGGGATGCAATGATTGACGAAGCATATCTCATACTCCTTCACAATTCACGCTGTGGCCTTCATCAGAACCTCACTGATGAAAGAATTTTTCACTCGAAATAGTAGTAGACTACTTACTTGCCTTGGAACCCTCAGCGAAGCAATAATAGAATGAAGGAGCACGACAAGGTGGCAATGTAAACATATATATAACAAGCACTATCCTCTCCAGCCAGCGCCTTCATGCCATCTCCACATACGTCATATTATCCTATAAACCGCATGTAATTTACCTGGCTTACCATGACGAGCTGCTCGTAGTCTCATCTTAGTGACTCAAATAGTGCATGTTTCAAGTTTCATTTGTTACTGAATGAGCGAATCCGCAACTTTTCTATGCAACTGGCGGGTTGGATTCAATACAAATTGTGCACCCTTTAAGTGTTACTCTGAGACCAAGAGCCCAGAGTTGTCTGCCACTAAAAAGGACTACCAACACCGCTGCAGTGTTACAGTTAAGCCCTCTCTAAAATTACTTGATCTGTCCAAGTGTTATGGCGACTGCCTCTTCACTCGAGAAAATATATCACTGAGGACGGTTAATATCGTCATTGGCAGATAGGTATTTCATAGAAAAGAGTTTCTCCCACATCGAACAAGCTACTTTTACGCAAGCAAGTAGGGGCAGCCAGACATTATTGTAGTGGGCGAAAGCCAATGCACGCGTAATCTGTGGCATTCGAAGGCGCAGTTACCTAGCTGCCAGGCAAGGCTTAGATCTTATAGCGAACGAATAAAAGACTGCTTGAGGCGACATTCATGGGCCTTGCATGAGCGTCCAGCTGGATACCCAGTGGCAGTACTTTCAAATTACCGCTGCCAGAGGTAACACTCTCTGATATCTGTACATGGACATGGTAGGTGCATATCACGTCTACCCCTGTCGGCAAGCTATCACAGACAGCACCACGAGCTACAAATTGCAAAGATGTTATTGTAAATCGTGACGTAGTCACAACAGTAACACCGCAAGGTATTAATAACATGGGATGGGCCCAGCTTATTCTTCAGTATTAGGGTAAGTTGCTACATCACCACGCTTCAGTTGGCAAGCAGGTTTTCACATCTGCGTCAAGCTTGCAAGGTATCTTCACGTTCGGTGCTATGCCGATCTTGTTGATGTCAATATGGTTTGGAGTTTCGTAGCGAGCGATAGTAACTGCGACTCCGCTTCCGTCGCTGAGTTGAGAAATCGTTTGCACGACCCCTTTTCCAAACGTTTGCTCCCCAATGAGCTTTGCTCTTTCGTTGTCCTTCAAAGCGCCTGCCAGAATTTCGCTCGCACTGGCCGTAGCCTTATTAACAAGCACAATCATCGGTTGTTCAGTATAAAGGCCATCTCCGACTGTATCAATCTCATCCTGCACGCCGTTCTTATCAACCACGTACACGATTGGTGTGCCTGACTTTATGAACAGCCTTGCGACATCCACACCGGCTGGAAAATAACCGCCCGGATTGTTTCTCAAGTCCAGCACAATCTTTTCGATATCCTCCTTCGTAAATGATTGCAAAGCATCCTTCAAGTCTGACGCAGTACTCGAGTTGAACTGCTTGATCTTGACGTACAATTGGCCTGGACCAAGCCACTTTGCCTTGATGCTTTTCAGTTTCAAGTTCTCCCGGACCATTTCAAAAGACTCCTCCGTCCCCTTTCCCTCATCATGCACAACGGTCAGCGAAATAGAGGTACCTGGACGCCCCCTTATTCTCTGAGCTGCCTCGTCCGGAGAAAGATCGTCAGTAGCTTCGCCGTCAATCAGCATAATGACATCATTCGACTTTACCCCCGCCCTCCCGGCTGGCGAATCATCGACTGGACTAGTGACCTTCAACACGCCATCAACCCTGGTCGGAAACAACTCGACCCCCACCCCCGCGACCTCCCCCGTGGCCGAGCTTGTCAACGACGTGAACTGCTGCGGCGACAGAAAGCGGGTGTAAGGGTCACTGAGCAGGGCGAGCATGTCGCGGATGGCGGAGTAGCCCTCGTCGACGGAGGCGTACGCGCGCTTAACGGTTCGCATGCGGACGGAGAACCAGTCTTGGTGGTTGAAGGTGCGGTCGACATACGACTGGTCCACGACGCGCCACGCCTCGGCGACCAGCTTCTGCGGCTCCGTTAAGGCGGAGGCAGGGGCGGCGAGTGTTAGGGCTACAAGCGCGCCGCTCAAGGCACCCGCTGTGACAGAGCGTGCGATGCGCGCCATTTGGAGGGGCGACGGAAGGTGGTTGCTGCATTGGGGGACCGCGTTGCGAGGAGATTGGGTGGTTGGGGCGCAGCTGGCTGGGCGCGGCAGTGGCAAGGCGGCGGAAAAGGCTAGCGTCGTGGGCGGAGCGTGATGGGCTGCCATGCCGGATCTTTGCCTCTTGCGCATTGTGTTTGGGAGGGTGAACTTGAAGCGAGGGAGGGAGTTAAACGTTGGCAGAAGGGGCGAGGACGGAGGCAAAGGCAGTAGGCGGGGAGGGGTAGGGAATGTATTGAAGTGAGGACTCCAAAACTGGGGAGGCGAAGAAGAGTCGGAGGAATGAGAACGGGTGGCTGAAGTCACACTTGTGATTCATCAGTGCATCATACGTGTGCACTTTTGCCCAGTACAGTAGTACCACCGTTATCTGCGTAACGAGATCAAAACCGCCGCATCCGATCTAACCCCGACACGAGCCATGCCATGACCTTCTCCCGGTTCGCGGGTGGCGTGCCTACTGCCCGTACTCGCCGTCGCACTCGTCGGCCAGCTCAGCGCGGGTTTGGTCTACTGGTAGCCGGCGCTGGTCCCCGGCCTGCAAGCGGAGCTCCAGCTGACAGACCGCGACGCCTCCGTCGTTGTCGCCGCGGCTAACTCGGGGCCCGTCCTCGTGATCTTGGGCGACTTGTTCCATTCGCGTTTCGGCTCACGCTGCACGGCTGTGATCGGCTCCGCGGGCATCTCCGCGTCCTTTCTGGCGCTTGCCGTGCTCGTCTCCGTTGCGCTTCCGCCTGCCGTCAAGGCGCTCGCGTTGTGGATTTGTATCGCGGTTACGTTAGCCTTCATCACGTTTGCGTCCATGCTGTATAGCTCCTGCATTACGGCCGCCGTTGCCGTGTTTGGAAAGCAGTATCGTCGGAGAGTAGCAACACTTGCGGCGCAGCCGCAAGTGTTGTGGACAAATTGCAGGCAGCGTTGCTCCCTTCTATCACACAGACCTCCGGCCTTTAGTTCTTCATCTCCGCCTTGTCGTTTATCCCCTGTCCGCTTTGCGTCATAACTTTTCCCGGCTTGGAGTCGTATGAGGTCGAGGAGCCATCCCCGCGACTTTCCGAATACCAGACTCTGCAATCGATGGAGGTATCAGAAGAAGATTTGCATGAGTTTTCTAGAAAGGAATCAATGACTTCATCAGTTCCACTCTCATTGTGGCTTACCGCGTGGCCCGGGCAGTGTTCATTGTTTTGCAGTGGTCTGGATTGAGCCAGGCCTTTGAGCTACCGATTGACGTTAACAGGGGCACGTCTGCTGTTCTAGCTATCATCGTTCTCAGTTTTTTCTCGCTCCCTCTCTTTGCTCCCGAAGTAATCCATGAACGTCCCTTTTCTGACACGTCGGCAGCGCAAACACGTCCCAAACCGTCTTTGTTCGAGGCTCCAGGCGATCGCTGCTTTTCCTACCTCTGCTTCGGTACTTCGCATTAGCTGGTTGAGGTGGCCTTACCCTCCTCGTAGAGGCGACCTTCTTAGTGCATAATCGCTTGTATCTCAATGCCGTGTCGGCTATGGTCAAGTTCGATCCGGAGATAGTCAGTCGTGTCGTGCGCAGCTACGTCATTGTCTTATCGGCTGGCAATACGGCTGCACGACTCTTCATCCGCAGGGTGATGGATTGGAGCGAGACTACTATCGAACGGCACATGTGAAAGTATGATATCACCCTCATCGATTCCGTCGTCATATCCGTTCGCACTACTCGCTATAGCTTTCGCAAGGTCTTGGGTTTTGTGTATTTCAATTGCTCTGGTAGGATTTTGTTATGGTGCATGGTTTTCAAGTACGCCTGCTCTCACGACCCTTTGGTTTGGGGTGCCGCAGTTTCCGAGGAATTTGGGATAAGTTTCTTCCTTTATAGTTTTGGGGTCTGCAACCCTAGCAAGCACCATTCCTTTGTATTTGCACTCAGCGTTTGGGGAATGGACTTCGTTGCCAGTTGTTGGGGGTCTTCCAAATGAGGCACATTGTTTGTACAGGATTGATGTGTACGATTCCATCGTTTTGCATGCTAGCGGCTATTCAGGCGAATATGGCCATCGATTGCGCTCATTTGTACATGCCAAGATGGAAATCTGTACGCATTGAGATTGACCGTTGATTGCAAATAGTTTTACCGTATTAGTTCATGGTGCTGTGTCATAGCCAAGCATCGGCGATTGTATTTCTGAAGGAATGTAGAGTTTTGTAGAGTAAGATGGCAACTTTTGTAAAGGAAAGCACTGCAAAGATCTCGTAGGCGTTTTTGCGTTTTCTGTAAAAGACTTCACGTGGATCTGCACGTAGATTGTCGTGATCGCCTGGACATTGTGATTTGTTCTAGGATGGTTACCCCCCGAGGACATAAATTCAGACGGTGCCAAACACTTTTACCCACCTTGATTGAAAGCTGTACCAGTATTAGAATGTTGTTTGGGAATGTCATGTTATGTTGACCGCACATGCAGGCTGTCACATGCTTGCTCTTCTGCCGGTGGATTTTAGTCTCAACGGAGCGTTTGAGTGGAAGGCTTCAGTAGTGTGCGGCATGCGCATATGCTTCGTTGCTCACCCGCCTATACCGAAACCTAAAAGTATGGATTTGTAGTACAGCAACATCGATGATCTACAGGACAGGGAGGCGGATTACATGGTGTTTTGAAAGGCCTTGTGTGCCATCATGGATTGCGGACATGGCGAAGAACATTACCGCGCCATGAACGTTGACCGGTGGAGGCAAATACACGAAAAATGCTCAGGCTGAACTCGGCCTCAGAAGAACAAAGCGTTTTTAGTCTTCCCTGACATAGTTCCCAATGAACAGGCAACAAGGGCTTGCAGTGAACCTGTTCTGCCAAGACCTTAATTTAGCTAGCTAGATGTCAGTATGCAAAGTGGTGCGGCCACCATGGTGGACTGGAGAAAGCAATATTTTGCTGGTTTTCGCAGTAAAAGGCCAGCTGAAGGAACAGCTATACGACTTGTGCGCTTTATCGGAGAAATAGAATCTACATTGCAAGATGACGGGGAGGAGGCACCAATGAGTGAATTGGATTAAGCGAGTTGGATCATTGCAGGCTCAAATTAACAAGCACAGGATCGTCGCCACTCCTGCATTCACATTCCATCCTCACGCCGCCAAAGAAGCGGCTAAAGCAAAGAGAGGAATGTTGGAACCAAGAGCAAAACCAAAACAAAAAAGTAGTCGGCGAGTTTGTTTGCTGCAAGGGCAACGGGGGTGGAAACTCCCGCACGAAGCATTGGCTATGTCATTTCGCTTTTCAAACCGCGGTGGCACAGGTGCGTTTCAGGGCGTCGCTGCAAGCGTTCGAAAGGAACGGCTCGCAGGCGAAAAATATTGACACATTTTGAGCGACGGGGACTCGGGTGATTACATTACACATGGTCGTCATGAAACATCCATCTCGTTTGCTTTGGGGAGCGCCCTTGGCAGTTCCGAATATACGTGTCATTATCCGGCGGGACTCCCTTTTTTCGCTGCGCTACTGAGCATGCTAACGATACTTAAGCAGACCGAGGTGACAGTGAGCGCGGGGCTCCACCCGTCATACAAGACGTTAAGACAGATATGGCCATTAGAATAGACGTGCGGATGGCGCGGGGTGGGTGAAAGAAAGATAACTTCCGGTGCCTCCATGGGGTAATCTGAGGGAAACACAAAACGGAGCGTGTAGCGCTCGTTTTCATAGACGGAGCTTGCGGCTCCCGTGACTGTAACGCGCCATTCATCGACGCGGTCCGTCTGCTCGACAGACATGCCTGGGACGGGGGGGTTTTTGACGGACCATTCAGCGAGCTCGCGCGTCAGACGGCGCTGGGCGACGCGCGTAAGCTCTTTGGGGAGAGAGCTAGAGGGCGCGCCATGCACGCTGCTGATGTTCATGGTTGCGGGTGCTGGGCCGGCCGGCCACGCTGCGGATGTGGACGAGTGCGCAGCGGGGCGGCGGGGTGGGGAAGTGGGGGGAGGGCGACGGCAAAGTATGGGGGGGGGGGATAGGTTGTGTGGGCAAGGGGAGGTGGGGGTTAAGGGCAACGTTGGCAGCGGCGGGTGGCGCTGAGGCGAGACGGATGGTGAGACGCTGCAGTGGGGCGCTTGGGTCTCCAGAGGTAGGGGAATGGACCTCTGCGTGACGATCCAGCGTTTGTCTGTTTTTCAGATGTTTTTTCAAGGGGAAGGATTGAGCAAACTTGTTTGTCGCCTTTGGCTTGCCAACGCAATGATTGACGATATCTTCGTGCCACATCACACAGCACTGCAAACGTGGCAACGTGTACACGTCACTTACGTGTATCTGGGTCATGAGATATGGAGAAAACAACTGTTTTTGACGGTTTATTCGTGAAGATGAGATGTCGACTCTATCTGCATCGCAAAGTGTACAAACAAAACACTATGGCCACCGCTCGACCGGTGTTCATGGGTACCACTCTACAAGTTGAGTGGCATGGCCTTGAAGTCGAGCAACTGGGCAACTATGGGCGTCTTGTAAATGAACATCGAGTGGATGACACCACCGACGCCGCACATGGCCAGCCGTCCATTCTTGATCTCGGCAAGTCGAATTCTGTCAGTTATCTTCAAGTTCATGGGGTTAAAGCCCAATTTCCCCGGCTCTGCCCCATCGGTGAACATGTCAGTGTATGACACTCTGCCCTTGTGGAGGATAAACTCGGAGATGCCGCAGAAGATGAAGATCTGCCACAACCCACCGGCGGGCACCTGGCCGAGAGCCTCCGTCGCAACCGGGTTGGAGAAGGCGGCGTTCGGCAAGTGAACAAATTCTTGCACAAGCATTCCCAGGAAAGCGAGCATGCAAATGCGGCCGTGCTTGATCTCAGACTCCTGCAGCCACTTGACGTCCATGAGCTGGGAGAGGGCCAGGGGGTCGAAACCC